CTATTATGAAACACCATACGTACACTGTATTATAAAACACCATATGTACACTGTATTATGAAACACCATACGTACACTGTATTATGAAACACCATACGTACACAGTATTATCAAACACCATACGTGCATTGTATTATGGGACACCATACGTACACTGTATTATGAAACACCATATGTACACTGTATTATGAAACACCATACGTACACTGTATTATGAAACACCATATGCATATTGTATTATGAAACACCATACGTACATTCTATTATGAAACACCATACGTACACTGTATTATGAAACACCATACCTACACAGTATTATCAAACACCATACGTACATTGTATTATGGGACACCATACGTACATTGTATTATGGGACACCATACGTACATTGTATTATGGGACACCATACGTACATTGTATTATGGGACACCATACGTACATTGTATTATGGGACACCATACGTACATTGTATTATGAAACACCATACGTACATTGTATTATGAAACACCATACGTACACTGTATTATGAAACACCATACGTACATTGTATTATGAAACACCATACGTACACTGTATTATGAAACACCATACGTACATTGTATTATGAAACACCATACGTACACTGTATTATGAAACACCATACGTACATTGTATTATCAAACACCATATGTACACTGTATTATGAAACACCATACGTACACTGTATTATCAAACACCATACGTACACTGTATTATGAAACACCATACGTACACTGTATTATGAAATACCATACGTACACTGTATTATCAAACACCATACGTACACTGCATTATCAAACACCATACGTACATTATATTATGGAACACCACACGTATATTGTATCATGCGACAACGTAGTACATAGTATTATGGGACACCGTACTTACATTGTATTATGGGACTCTGTACATACATTGTATTAATGAACACCACACGTATATTGTATTACGTGACACCGTAGTACATAGTATTATGGGACACCGTACATTGTATTATGGGACACCATACATTGTATTATGGGACACCGTAGTACATTGTAATAAACGACGCCATACCTTGTCATACGTAATAGTATCAAACATGTCCCAAAGTTGATGGGTCCAACCACCGCTAGACCTGACTAAAGACGGTGCACTGTACGATGAATCTATGTTAAAGGCAATCAGCAAATCCTCAGTAAGAAATTGGTCCCACTACAATAGAACATAGCAATATTATCAGAACCTTGCCATCAAATAACATGCCTTAGCTGTTGTAGTATAACGACAAATGATAGAAGTCAAGTTTAGTTAGTTTAGATTATAGATATTGAGGCTATATCATAATTAGATTGTATTATTATATAACAGTGTATTTTATTGTTATTTCAATTGTTATCAAAATTAAAGCAATGGTATAATTAAAAGTGTGCGAATTTTGAGTACATCTCAGCTTCAAATCAGTTTGATAATCCACACAAAGGGATATAAACTTGTTGTTATTAATCGACACACTGATGTACACTCAAGTACACAACGATTTACCCGCACAGCATATTATGAAATATTTTATGTCTGTTGGTAAATATGAAGTAGACGCGAATACTACAAAGTGTCTTCAAAGTGAATTTATAGTATACTTGAAAACTAACATAGTACACTTATTGATATACAGAAATGTACATACTATTTTCCATTCAGGGTGAATTTCATCCAACGCTACATATTCTAAGAATGAGGCGAAACCTTCGTTCAACCACAAGTGATCCCACCACGACATAGTTACTATGTTTCCATACCACTATTATGAATGAAAAGAAAATATTATTCACATAGCATAATACTCGTGTGACGGTGCTCACAATTGTGGAGTAATAGAAACCAACTTTATAAACTACTCATATTATGAACAGCTGAAAAAAATAAATTTCAATGGCGCAGTTGAATCAAAATAGCTAATCAGCGAGCGCAATATGCAAATTACATTATTTGAATAAATTTGAATGTTATTCAGTTTGAACTGGGAAATTTATAAATAGATATAAAATTAACAGGAACAGGTTATTTGCGCCGAGAGTAATGGAAGATGAAATTTCGAGCTCAACTAGGAATCATCTCAAGTTCAAGTTACCAATGTGATACACATTTATTTTATTATGTGCGTTCTTCCTTGATATCCTTAATTTGTTCATAGGAAAAATATTCATTCATACCACTTCTTCACATTTTTTTCACTGGATTACCCTCCAGTGCTGACAATGTCGGTGGCATGGACATAATTTAAGCGGCTGTGTTCAAACACAAACACTGTAAAAACGTGACTTGAAATAAACTACATATAGGACAAGTTACACGTGGTTTAGTATTTACCATATGTGCCAGCTCGTGTGCGATTATACTAGCAACAGATTTCTGCTTGGCAGGTGTGTTTACATCCGGGTCATACAGCATATACGCATCCTGGTAAACGATAAGTGCCCAGTTTTCAAGTCCACCTGATATGAATGTTGGTGACGCCACCATGTCTACATTTGTACATCAATACATAAGTTAGTTGTGATATATAGTAATTTAGTAATTATTAAACTTGAGCTAGATACATCTCAGTGCATATTTATTTTACAACCATGGCCAAAATGAAATGGGGTCATCGAACAAATTTCCAGTTAAAGCTTCAAAAAAATCACCATTTTTAAAATGGCAGCGGGTATAAAAATAAGATTTCCACGAAAACGAGTTCGACGATCCATCATTGTAAATAACAAATGACATAATTAATGCGAACAATTATTGCCAAGAAATATTTTCATAAATTACGACATTCTAAGATTTCTTAGTATCATATTCCGTAATACAATGGATGGGATGAAGCGAGTAAAAAAGGGGAATTTAAAATATAGTAATGGAATTACAAACTAATTCAAGTCACATATAATGTAACAAACGAAAATGCATTGCTTTCAAGTTTGTATAAAGAGACATGGCTTTGCTTGTTTTTGTGTCAAGATTTCATCGATAAATTCCTACCGGGCAAATAAATTACATTGGAAAGACGCAGATACAATCGTGGAGAGAAAATATCCCGCACACTGATGGAGATTATCTCTTGTAAATTACATGTACAGAGATACAGTCTAATATTGAACAGTGTCACTACCATTAATCCCCACGGGAGCTCTTCATGTCCGTGTCAATGATCAAGGTTGTGATGATAAAACTTCGCAGCACACTGATCACACGTGACTTACCCACAATACCATCATACTGTTTTCGCAGACCGATTATGAGCAATTTATATTCTCGACTGTGTACTCACTCGTCCACGACCCGTACACTAAATGGCATTACAAAGTAGTCCATACATAGGGCATTCACTAATTTGTTATATACACGGCAACGTGCCCTCTTCAAACCTCGTATATTTGCAACTTTAGCAAATTGATCTGACTTACGAATTTGCTAGAACATGGAAATCTGAAAAACCAAAGTGCCGCCAGATATCTCAGTATTCTCCCACATTGTATTCTCCAACTGTAGCTGTACGGTTAGAACACCGAAAGTATCTCTGACACCACACACCGCCATTGTGTGGTGAAACGCCACAAGACTTTTACTATGGTATTCTTGGCGTTTTGTTTCTTACTAGAGGGCTCTCGCCTTTATTTCTTCTTACTGGTAAATATATTTTAAAATATGTTATCGATAGCTGATAACGATCTTTTCGTAAACGCAAAGAAAGAAAATGGTGAAATAGGTATAATAATAATAACTCGTCCCACTACCACCCGTTTGTGCTATCGCGCGCGCTTTCGATGGGTTCACCATGGCAATGATTTGGTGAACATTTCAGTACCAATAGAATGCATTGACCAATCAACAACGAGCATAAGATTGCGTTATTCATAGAAATAGAACTCTACGTGGTTTGATTGGCACTAGCTGAGAACCACGAGGATACGTCCTCGGATTCGCCAGACAGGAGCACGCGACTAAAAGCGTGCTAAGTCAACAGATTATTTTCAATCAAAATGTTGATGATTACGACCATGGAGGTACAAACCTCCATGTTACGACTCACCCATTTTCCGTATCGGATGTGGCAAATTGAAGTATCGTTCAAAGAATGTCAACATCTTCACTCCAACATTTAAAGCATATTCGGCGGCATGAATCTGGTCCGGTTCAGCCCATACTCGAAACTACAACGCAAATAATCAGAGACAATTTGTGTACACCTGTTCGCCGTATTTCACACATGCACACAAACTATTAATAATTGTTTAAGGATTATTGCACCACATAACTTTAGAATTGTAAATTTAGTAAAATATCAATATAATATTCTTATAATTACAATTAGTAATAGTTAAAATGAGATTCAATCTGCTTCTAACCTGGATTCCAGTATCAGTTGTCTTTTCAAGGCTCGGGAAATCCAAGAGAGCGAACGCAACATGATATGTTGACATGACAACGGATTTACTAAAGTAGGTGGTATTCCATTCTCCATCACTTGTTGTCATGGAAACAGGCATACAAGACAATGCCTTCCGATTTGGTCGATGAGTTATAGATATATCGAACGTTGCCTTTAGTTGAGGCTCGTCCAAACATGGAAACGCATTCCGAGCACCGGTTGGTTGAAAGCAAGTCACTGCGATAAATCTGGAAAAAAAATGTATTGAGTTTATGAAATATGCCAGTCAGTGAAAGACGAGGCCAAGTCTAAACTGTCTAAGTGAGCTTGTGATTTTATTTAATACGCATTAAAACTAAACTTGTGTTTCGATACCAAATGGCAGAATTTCAAATGCGGGTGGCATAGCTCTGAATACGTTGTTTTCGAAAACTACAGGGCGCTGACGCACACCATACTGCTTAGTAAACATGACACGACTCGCTGATAGCATGTAACAACATATTGTACAATTTGTCCGTTTTCTGTTTGGGCCCCGATAGATATTTGAAACGATGTACAATCACATGTGTCCGCGACTTTTAAGTACACAATGGCCAGGCATCTCGTTGCCAGTCAAAACCAATCAATTGAACGCAAGAATTAACACAAGTAAATATTGAATAGATGTTTGCACATTTTATGTCATTATTCGGATGTCTTTTCAGTCACTGTTGGCATGCTTCCCCTCGTCATTATTGGAATGTCTTTTCAGTCACTTTTCGCATGTTTCCGCCCAGTCATTATTCGGATGTCTTTTCAGTCACTGTTTGCATGCATGTCTCCCAACAGCCTTTATTCGAATGTCTTTTCAATCATTTTCGCCTGTTTCCGCCCAAGCTATTATTCGTATAACGTCAGACCAGAAAGCAGAGGGTTAGCAAGCATAACTAGAGTACCAGCATATCGTTTTCTTTTGTGCCGTAGGTCATGTATGTTATTGGTTAAATATGTCTCGCTTTGGGTTTCAAATACTGCAGTAATACTGTTTATCTTAACTTAATCACCCAAGCACTTTACTTGCGTTTTCCCCCTTAGGTACTATCGGTATGAGAGGAACACTTTGTTCAACACGCCGAGTAAAGTATTGAATATCACCAACGGGGTGGTAGATAGGACTGGTTCAGGGAAAGTTATACTAGTACATCAGTTTATTGAAGTGGTACATGTTGTTTTAAACAAACAAACCACACACACACACACACAAAACA